GGGGGGTTGATCCCCAAATGGAGTGCAGGCAATAGGCAGCCTATTGATATTTCATTCTCTCTCTCTCTCTCTCTCTCTCTCTCTCTCCCTCCCTCTCTCTCACACACACACTCACTGCCCAGGGCGCTCTAATCCTCCGGGGTTAACTGCAAACTTACCAGAATAAGGTCGAGTCCAAGTAACAAGAATTGTAGTGGCCCTGGATGCCTTTCTTCTTCCCAATCATGATCTCCAGACCTTCCTTTTCCATTCTCGGTGGAGTATTTTCTTCCACGACTTCACTCAAGTAGCCTCCAAAGGCTGAAAAGAAGAAAATAGAGGTGGAAACGGTCATTCTTTTAAACTATGACCACAGGCATCCCTGTATATGTCTTCACTTAAAATACTCCTTTGTATTTTGAGGCAAAATTTGTTTCTCAACTCAAAGCAAAGGTAAGGGTAGGTTGGGGTTACGGTTACTGTGCATTTCCAGCCTCGCTGCCTCCACAGTTAGAAATCGCTGCAGAGTACGAAGGAATTAATGTGAAAAAGCACCTGCCACGTGAGGTATTTTGTTCCCCAAAGACTTCACTATTTGTCTGAAGAAGTGTCCTTTTCAAGTTGGAAAAGAAAACAAAAATTCCAAGGTACTCTTTCAACCGCATGAGAAATGTCTTCCTAGGAGGGTTTTCCTACTCGGCCAGCCTGACCCTGGAATGCTCCCCACGGTCACCGGGGGGGTGGGGGGCGGCCCGGGAGCCACCGCCGCCACGGGGACGCGCTCCGCCCTGCGTGGAGCCCGCTGAGCTGCTGTGAGCGCTGCCTGCGTGCCAGGCGCGGACGCATGCACTTGGCCCGTGGGGGCGGCACTGCTGACAGCACGCACTCACCGACGCCCAGAACGAGGCTGAGCAGGGAGTCGGGCCCCAAACGCACACGTCTACCTCCCGGGCTGCTGAAAACCACATGCCTGTCGTCCGCAGGAAGACAAAAATAAACCCCACGATTTTCACTTCCTGAGTCTCCAACACATTTGTCTGGCGTCTCCTTTCCTTAAACGTCTCCGCTTAGGATAACTGTAGCTTCCTTACACACCAGGCAACAACTCTGACCACCTCAGAGGCCTGATGAAGGCTGGAAGACACACATCTGTCACGGCCCCACCGCCTGCCACAGCCCCGCTGCCTCCTGCCCGCGGCTGAGGTCAGACCAGCCCTGCAGACGCAGGGAGGGCAGGTACCTAGAGAGTTGCAGCGCTCGATCTGGTTGGACACCGGCTGCAGGGACGCGAACCTCGAGTCGGGCCGGCAGCTCTTCAGCTTGACGAACAGGGCCTTCTTCAGGGCGCAGGTGAAGTAGCGGGTGCCCCGGAAGGTGCCGTCTGTGCAGCCTGTGCACTCGTCCTCCTGAGGGAGAGATGGGCCCGTGCCTCACTGCCTCGTGCAGGGGTAGCGTGCCAAGAACTAAGGCTTGTGTGCCTGCACCCTCTCCCGGAACCCCGCACCCCACCTGGACTGAGGGCCCCTTCGGAAAAGGTTGGCTCATCAGCATTGCGGCCCACAGCTAAGGATTTCAGAAATTCGCTCCTTAATCTGGCACGAAGCCCTCAGTGGTCCCCTCAGAATCCATGTGGAACCTTCCCCGGCTAACTGACCTTCCTGCACCTTTTCCAAAAATATCAAAACTCCGCGTGTGGTGGGGGGAGGGGGAAAGGGGGAGAGGCTGTTCATTTTACCAACTCCCCCCCAAAGCAGCATGCAGATACCACAGACCCCATCTAAATAAAGCTAAACGCGCTCAATTCTCCTCTCCCGATTATGAAATGTCAAGCGATACTTTCCGAATCTCAAAAGGGAAAACCTCTCCTTCTGGAGAAGACCCCAAAAGCTTCTTAAAATGGGGATGAATCTACAGCCAGTGATGCGGAAATTAGCACTGACTGGGGAGGGAGGCCGGGAAGGAAGACGGGCTGATCAGGGGCTGCTTCCCTCGCGTCCTGTTTCACACAATGAGCCTAAACATGAACTCCCGGCCGTTGATCGGCTGTCACTTCGGAACAGGTGACCGGAGGTCACTGGGTGGCAGGGGAAGTCAGGCGACACGGGAGTAAAACTGCTCTCAAGTGACTGAACATACAACATGTCAGCAGAGCACGGAGCAGGGGAGATCCGCCCCGTCCCGCTAGCAGAGGAGGGCGCTTCTGGGCGGAGGACGTTACCAGCTCCAGCCCGGCGAGGACTTCGCTGAGGCCCGGCGGCTGCCCGATCCAGCGGATCACCCCGTAGAAAGGCGGGTTCTCCTTGACTTCCGCCAGCGAGCCCACCTCCAGCCCGTGGGAGCTCCCGGGCGACGCGGCCACGGGCGGGCTGTCCGGGACGGGCGTGGTGTTCAGCTCGCCCATCACCGACTGGACGGACAGGGAGAGCGGGCTGTGGCCGATGGTGCCGTTGGCATTGGGCATCTTGGTCAGGCTGAAGGGTAAGGAGTGGAATCGGTTCTCGCTGGACAGCGAGTTCATGGTCGGGGGCTGCAGAGGGGGCGACGCCTGTCCCAGCTCTGGAGGCAGCTCGGTGAGCGACTTGGCAGAGTCCTCGGCAACTAGAGAGAGTCGTTCTCGGTTAGAGGGACGCATTGCAGGGTGGTAGGCAGGCCCCACCGCCCCGCAGGTGCCCGCCCGCCCCCTGGCGGGACGTCACCGCACACAGCCTCGATGTCTCCTCACCACGTCTTCAGCCTCCGCCCACCTCCACGTTTCCACCTCAGTAAACGCCACCCCGCTGTCCAATCCGTAAACATCTAGTACTGATTGGGGTTAGACGGGTTCTCTTCCTTGTCCATGGCACAGTGAGGTTAGAAACCACCACAAAAGACGCCACGACATTTAAGAAAGATGCTTCTCCATAACAAATGGACCAAAGAAAAACTGGTGTAAGTGTTTAAAGTAAAGAAAAAAGACAGAGAGAAAGCCAACATCCGTGGAGCATGTCTGAAGTCATACCTTCCAAGGAAATGTACAGACTTAATCGTTTATTTTAGAAAAAAGAAAGATGATATTAATGACCTCAGCACACAACTGAAGAAGCTAGAAGAACCAAAAAGTAGTCAAAAGGAAATTCTGAATAAAAACAGAAATGAATGAGGGAGAAAACACAGGAGAGAGAACCGAAGCCGAAAGCTCTTTCGCTGAGTGACTAGCACAGCTGCCGGCAGCACTGCGGCCGGTGCGGAAGGAGGAGCGTCCACCAGTCATCCACGCTCCACCCTAAGTCACTCCCAGAGGCTCAGAAACGTGAACGGCAAGCCTGTGACTTTGGGGAGACAGCAGAGGGGAGTGTTCTTTACGACGGTAGGTTGGAGAGAAAGGTCTTAAATGTGAGTATACACCAGTGATGGCGAACCTATGACACGCGTGTCAGAGGTGACACGCGAACCCATTTTTCTGGTTGATTTTTCTTTGTTAAATGGCATTTAAATACATAAAATAAATATCAAAAATATAAGTCTTTGTTTGACTATGGTTGCAAATATCAAAAAATTTCTATATGTGACACGGCACCAGAGTTAAGTTAGGGTTTTTCAAAATGCTGACACGCCGAGCTCAAAAGGTTCGCCATCACTGGTCTACACACAGCAACGGAAAAAACAGACAAACATGGTCACGTGAAAATGAAGAGCTGCTTGTTCAGTAAGAGGCACCACAGTAAGACTGAAAATATGGGCCCAAACAAGGAGAAATTACTTCCATCCTTGTATCTGACGAAGGATTGGAATTTAGAAAAGGTCTATAAATCAGTTTTTTTAAAAAAAAGGCAAAAAGAAGAATAAACCTAATGGAACGGAATACTATGCAGCAATGAAAAATTATACTCATCACTACAACTGGGATGAATCTTAGGGACCTAATGCTGAGTGGGGAAACTACACAGATACATACAGTCTAATTCCTTGTATATAAAGCTCAAAATATGCAGAACTAAGAGTCTACATATGCAAACTTACAGAACTCTAATTTTAAAAAAGAACAGAAGAGAACGATTAAATTAAAGATGCTGGAGGCTCAGAGGCGAGAGTGGAGAGAATGATACCTCCGAGCCATTAAGTTCCTTGAGGCTCGGCCTCCCTCCATCCATTCTCTCCTCACGACACTATTCTGGGACTTTGATCACCACATGCATGAAGGCAGCCTACAGCTCCATTTCTCCAACTCTTCCCTCTCTTCAAAGCCCCAGATCTGTATCTCCAACTGCCTGTGTGACAAGTCACCCCGGGAGTCTAAAAGGCCCTCCAACCCTCATAGTCAAAAGCAACCCCTCGCCTTCCTCCACAATCACCCAAGTGTGCAAACCAGAAACCACGGAGTCGGCACAGACATCTCTCCTCCTCAGCTCTCACGCCCAGACTCTTCGGGAGTCCTGTCATTCCCTCCCACGTGGCTCAGCCACCCGCTCCCAGCTCTTCCCCAGCAGCCCGTCCCCGCTCCCAACACCCAGGACGGAGCCCCAGCAGGCATCCCGGGCCCAGGCATTCACACACGCCTGCTCCGACGCCTGCCCACGCTGCAGCAAGGGCGAGCCTTTCAAAAAGGAAGCTTGGTCGGGTCACGCCTCGCTGCAAGCCCTTCCACTAGGGCCAGGCCTCACATGCCCTGGGCCTGGTGCCTTCCCAGGAGTTAGGCCCCTCTGTTCTAGCTGCTCTGGCTCTTTTGCCCTTGAACCCCAGGCTCCATTGCCCACAAGGCTTCCCATACGCTGTTCCCTCCGCCTGCAAGGCCCTCCTGACCCCTCCCTTCACCCACCGCACTGCTCCGGTGAATCTAGCACCTGTCACTTCCTGGGGAAACAGCCTGAGCCCCCAAGTAAAGTCAGGCCTCACGCACGGCCACGCACGGCCACACACCTCCCCCGTCCCCACTGCTGCAACTCTGTGTCTGATCGCTGACCACCCTGAACAACCTGATCGCACACACAGCCAGGGCGAGGGCCAAGCCTATTTTCTCACATGTAACCCCGGCGTCAAGAAGAATGCCTGGCACATAGTAAGCACCAAACACACGTGCTGAACAGACGAAGAAGAAAAGGAGGAACCAGGAGAACACGATGGCCCAGAACCACGGGAAGGAAGGGTTTTCGAGGGGCGGGCGTTAAAGAGACCCCGACGGAGAGGTCTTTCAATGATTCACTGATTCTACAGACCTTCTACCCCAGGTCCGCTGGGCCAAGAGAACAGCTGCTAATACATTTTCTAGAAGTTTCACCAATCTCAGCCGTGCAGCTCAAGCTGTGCACAATGTTTCAGGTCAGCAATATCACTCATTCCATTCCCTGAACTGCAGCTCTGGGTGGCGACGCCACTCCTCTCTGCTGAGTAAGGCTGGGATTACCTTCATCGATGTACCACGTGTTTTTTGACTTGGGTGGCAGCTGTGAGTCCACAGAAGACCCATTTAAGGTATAAAATAATTCCGATCGGTTTCTACTTCCAGGGTCTGAGGTAGAGCCTACGGAACAAGAAAAGCTCCTTTTAAACACAAAGGCAATCTGGTGTGGAAGCGTTTCCATCGCTGAAATAAACACGCACGTGGTGTTAACTCTGCACACAGCCCCTCGATGCCCACGGCACTGCCTCATCAGCGCCGGCGGCTTTTCAAACTCTGGTAACTGTGAAGGACTGAGAACCATTTTGGAAGAACCTGAAAGATTCTTCCAACCAAGACTCAACAAAGGAGGGGAAACAAGTAAGTTTAAAGAAAACCATATACATTTTTAAACAAACTGCTTTTAGAAAATGTTTTTTTAATCATTTCATTACTGGCTTATATCCGAATGTCAACATCACCATTCCCCTATTTCATGTGACAAACCCGTGGGCTCACAGATTTAGCCTCTACTATTTAGAAGAGTTGCTCTCAGAAGGAGGGAACCTTTGAACGTTGAACAAATTCAGTTTTAAAAACTCAAGGTTTAAGCATTTGGAACCGTTGGGCATCGGATTCCTGGCTGAATGTCTTTGGTTCTGGAGAGAGTGAAGCTGTGCTGTTTCCTGCATCGTAGATTCACTCACCGTAAGAAAGAGTCGGTGTTGCTATGCCTCAGACATTTAAGACAGGACCCGCCCCAGCACCGAGAGGGCTGCTGCAGATGCTAGCAACCAGACAAAACCTGGCTTTCCCTCCAGTCAAAGCAGCCAGCTCCGTGCTGTCTGCCTACAACCAGGTCTGCTGCAACATAAGCAACACACGTCTTACGAGAATACTTAGGCTATTTATGTAAGTGAGGGCTGCGTGTTTGAGCCACCCTATCTAGAACTAAAGGTTAGCACAAAGAATACTATCACCTATACAGTCTGTTTCATTCTAAGTGTCCCAGGGTCCAACGTCAGATAAAATATTTCTCAAGCACAATTTCCTTTCAAATGAGCCAAAATAGTTTTGTTCACTAGGTGACCGAGGAGAAAATATTCTTCCCCTAACCCACTTCTGAGTTAGCAATAGTTCTTACAGCTTTTTAAATGAGCTCTTCGGCTTATATAACTCCCATCCATACATCTATGAAATATGTGGCAGCTGACAGAAAGAGCTAAGAGCTCCGCATCTATTTTGGGGGAGCTTCTGGTGGAGGGACAAACTGTTTGCTTAGCAGTTTGGAATTTCATTTGTGCACATCCAGTTAGTGAGAGCCACACAGTCAGCCTCTAGTGTACTTATCCCATGTAGCATCTTAGCCACATGCAGGTCACCGTGGTTCAGGTGACAAATTATGCCATCATTAGTCAACAATAACAGAAGAATAAACTGTGTTTCACGCGCTCACAACTACAAAACTACGTTTGCCCGCCCTGAATGGCTCATCTGTACAGCTGCACCTCTAAACAAGGTACAAATGTCGCGAGCAGGGAGGTCCAGAAGCCAGCGGATACGGACCAGCGAGACACAGGTCCTCGCCGGAAACGCTTCTCCAACCAAAACAGGTTGGAGCCCTTGGCTTGGTCAACACCATCCATTAAAAATGTCAGGAAATGACTAAAGCCAGCTGAACGGAGCAAGTCTCCCCGCCTGGCCGGCTAACACCTGAGCCTCCTCTCAAGGCCACGGGCAGGCGGCCGCCCAGTGACAGCTGAGCACTGCGCTCTGGTCATCCTTACCTGTCACCTTTGGTTTGTTGTGACTGGAGGAACCTTTGTCCCCAGCGCCTCTTGATGCAAAGGCCAGCTTGGGAGGCCTCCTCTCCGAGGTCACGCTATCTGAAACGGGAAAACACCATCTTTAACGGTAAAAGCAAATCCTCACCGAAGAAAAACAACCGGCAAATAATGACACAGCAACAAAAGGCTCTTCCCAACAAAGAGGCAGTATTTGCACAATAGTTTTACAAATGATTCAAGGCCATCAAGAGTACCAGAATCAGTGCTGTATTCTGAAGCGGAATTACTACCCGATAATACACCCCAAGTACAACTCAGCTAAATGCTCCAGCTTCTAGAAAATGTGCTCGCCTTCCGTCCCTCCGCCCAGGCCCAGCACTGCCTTCCCCTCAGCTCGCTTCCCACTCTCCACCGCGCACATCTAACTGGCCCTGTGTCTACCGCGTCCCGTCCGTCCATCCGCACTCGGGGGATGAGAGCTCCGTGTGGGCAGCTTAACCCCCGCCAGAAGCCTCAGTGCGGGCGGACTGTGTTTGAATGAACGAATGAATGGCCTTTTACAAAACTGCCTTCTGAACATAAGCGTGTATCGCGCCATTAAAAAGCACTGCGATTTATCAGATCATAAATTATGTTCTTTCCATAAACAGGTTTGAAAAGGTCAATTAAATATTCGTGGGTACAATCTGACCACATGTATGCTCGCCTATGAACACAACCCAGGCTCCAAAGAGAAGTGGGGAAATCGCTAGAAAGCCCGTTTACAGGAAAGTAAGAACTGATTTCAAAGAATCAAGGTCACAGCATGTCAGACTTTCCAAAGTAAAACGGAGATGCAGCTATCACTTCAACGCCTCCAAGTAAGTCAGTGTGCTCTCGCCGTAAAGCTACAGTCCAACATAGAAAGTGCTTCCTCACGGCGCCAAACAAGCATTTCACATCGTCAGCCAACAGGAGAGGGAGGCCGGACCGTGCAGGCAGAAGGACCCTCAGGACCATCCAGTGCCGGCGCCTCCGTGTTTACAGAAGAGACCGAGGCCTGAGATGACCAGGGGGACGCGCCATGTTCTCTGTCAGAATTAGCAGAGATGGAAAAGCAGTGGGAGCAAACAAACTGCTTGTTCACTTGTCATCCTTGTTCCAGGAAAATTTAGCTTCCATAGAATTAGAGACAAAATGCATCTCCATGGAAACAGCATCTCGAGCACACGAGCGAGGCCGCGAAGTATATTTTCCCAGGCTGGTCTCCACGGCCCACGTGTACACACAGGATGGGGTGAGGCGGCCACTTGAATGGAGCTTTTGGATCTGACTGGTCTGGACTTCACCCAGGTCAACTGTGGTCCCCTCAGGCCCGATCTAAGCCCCCGCGTTTTTTATCAGCAAAACGGGGACAATTCAGACCTACCTGGTAAGTCTGTCAAGAATGCAAAAGAGTCTAAGTCATCTAATTCGGGGTTCGGGCACTTGTGGCTGCTGCACGCAGCCTCCTGGCATTTTATCCCGATGGCATAACGCTCAGTAAGCCTCCCGCCCAGCCCCCTGTCAGTGTACAGTGAGCATCTGACCGAGGGGCTGGCGATGCCTGGAGACCTACCAGGAGCAGGACGGTGCTGCGGGGCAGCCGCCAGGAGGGATGTACCCAACAGCTGACAGCAACCATCAGGTTCGACTTGTTTGGGCGAAATAAAGGGTTGTTGGGATTTTTTAAAGACGTAAAGCTGAGTGAGCCGTTGCCGACTGCAGGGCAGGAAGCCTGACCAATCACAGCGTCTCAAACCGACAGGGCCCGCCTGGGCCTCCCGCCTTGCCCCTGCCCATTAGACTAGATTAAATGACCAACTTCTGCTTAGGTTTCTAGTTTCACCCAGGCTCTCCCTCAAGCAGGTAGCACTTCATCACATTTCTGACTCCTCTGGTATCAGAAACCCGCCCACACCCCCGTCCCCCGCCACACACACACACACACACACACACGCACACACACACACACGCAGAATGGACAGGTGAGGAAGAGCGAATGGCACCCGCGCTCACATATCCTCGGAGAGAAAACGCCGTCCGTCTTGTTTTCACGCGGGGTAAGAAAGCACAGTCTATGGAATAGCAATTCCCAATTCTATAAAAGCTCCAACAATGCACCTCGGAGCTTGCACTTGCACCCTCATAACAAAGCGCCTCCTCCCAACGCCACCCACTCCCCGAGCGGAAGGCACAGACCTGGGATGATGTCGTTGATGTGCAGGAGGAGCGTGCTCTCCACGCTCGCAAAGCTGCAGAGCGGCACGCCGTCAAACCGGCCGTCCCAGTTGCCGATGGGGTTGTCCTGGAAGCGAAGGGACAGAACCAACTTCAAGATCACAGCCTGCAGGTTCCACAAAAGATCCCCCAGCCCGCGCACACGGGGCGCACACGGTCACGGTTAACTGTTCCTGTGGGCCAGCCAGAGAACCACGCTGAGCACCCGTGTGTACGACACGCTACATGTCACCGGGACAGGGGGATGGGGCGGCGCGGGAGGGTCTAACCATTAGGCAGCCTGCCCCAGTGAACCAGGTGAGGCCCAGACTGCCAGCTAAGGAGGGCAAGGCCTCCCTGGCTTTTGCCAAGTTTGAGGCCCCAATGACCTGAAGCAAAGGGAGACTAACCCACTGACCAGCTGCCCTTCTCCAACCTCCCTGCACCCAGCTCACGGTCTTTCCTCTAAATTAATATTCAGTATGTAAAGAACAATGGTTTGGCCCGGCTGATGTGGCTCAGTGGTTGAGTGTGGACCAGGAACCAAGAGGTCACCGGGTCGATTCCCGGTCAGGGCACATGCAGGGGTTGCAGGCTCGATACCCAGTAGGGGGCGAGCAGGAGGCAGGTGATCAATGAGTCTTTCTCATCATTGATGTTTCTATCTCTCTATCCCTCTCCCTTCCTCTCTCTCTGAAATCAATAAAAATGTATTTTTTAAAAAAAAGAAGAATGGTGTGAAGGCGTGCTTAGCTGTTAGCTCTCCCGAGGGACCCACGGGTTTGATCTGGCTCTAACTGTTCATGTTAAATATCCACTAAACGTTGGTATAAACAGCACAGTCATGTTTGTCTAACCAAGGGCTGTGGAGGGGAATTTCCTAGAATTTCCCAGCACAGGATAGGAGAAACTTAGGCCCCAACATTCATACCCCACCAACACGCACACCTGAATAGGGAGGAGTAATCGCCGCGAGCATCGTGAGTACAGAGTCTGTCTCTCACATCCGCTGCTCACTCAGGCTAGTGTGTCAGAACTCCGTATGAATTTCTTCCTTTATTTCTAACAAATTCCTGCCCATATTTTCAATCTGTGACACAAATGTTCTCAGCCTTTTCTCCTCCTCCTCCTCCTCCTCCACTCAATCCCACAGGTCTCATTCAGCTCACTGAATTGGAATGTGCCATTACTAACAAACAGCGGTGTAGGGGGCATGACAAATGAGTGAGACAAACAAAAAACAAACACTGTGTGAGGCACTTCTATGAGGTACCTAGAATCGGCAAATTTCCAGAGACAGGAAGTAGAATAGAGGTTACCAAGGGAACGCCAGCTGCGGGGAGTGAGTGTGGGGAGTTAGTGTTTAAGGCGGATGGAGTTCCAGTTTGGGATGATGAGAAAGTTCTGGAGATGGATAGGGCGATGTATGCACAATGTGGATGTACTTACTGCCACTGACCTGGACACATGAAAATGGTTAAGATGGTAAATGGTATGTCATGTGTATTTTGTCAAGAGAAAAAATTTTTAACTTTTTTTTGAGTGAGTTATATCGTCAGAAAATACTCTAATTGTCTCTTCCTCTAGAGCAAGAGCTATTCCTCTAGCCAGGTATTTTCCATGGGTGATTTTTACACTAATTAAAATCAGGCCAGTCGATACAATTTTGCAAAATATTAAAGAGAAATAGAACCCCCCCCCCAAAAAAAAACCCACCTTTTCAAAATAAAGAAAAATACTGTATTATGTAATATATTTTGGTGTGTTTTTCTGTCTACTGGTCAGCTATCATACAGCAAATTTAAAGACGGGAAATGTCATTTCAGTTTATTCAAACTGATAGAGGACATGCAATTCTCTATCTAGTCTCCTGTCCCGTATCAATGCTCCTTTACCAGCGATCAATTAGAACCTGCTCTTTACATTACTCCAAATTAGTCCATTTGAAACCCGGTATTCAAAGCATCTAATCGGTACCTAAACGGGTCACAGAACTAATCGCCATACCCAGGGAGAGCATGTAACCCAAAAGCTTCTTACCATGTCCACACCAACAAAATACCCTAAGTTTTCTTTGCCCGGCAAAGTGCCACAGAAGATAACCGTGCCAGACTCCAAGCCTTCTCCGATTTTCAGAGAAACCCTCGAGTTTATTTCCAGAGGAGGGAGTTCCATCTGCGCTGCGTCCCCTGGACCTGCGTAGTCACTTTCCAATCCGTTGTCATCCTCGTCTATGAGTTCTAGCTTGTCCAGTGCAACAAACACGCCACAGTCTTCATCACACTGGAAGAGCTGCTTCCCTTGGTAGACCCCGTCCGTGAAGCCTTGGCCACGACCTTCTTCCTAGTTTTTTGTGGTTGTTTTTAAAAGAAAAAAGATAGATCGATAGACAAACAGATGGACAGAGACAACCCGTAAGAAAAAAATATCCACTCTGGGGAGTTCCGGGAAATCACTGAAAAATTTCTAAATGACACATATAAGGAATAGAATTATTAGCAGTTGCTACTGGATTGAGGGTGTTTTTAAGAAAATAAGGAAGAAGCTGTATCGGATGCTGAAATAAAACTACTTCATTTCAAATTGTAATTCTACTATGAGAGAGCAGGATTGAATTCTACATTGTCATTTGAACAATAATATTGTCATAGAAAGAAAATTTGACTTTAAAATAACGGTAACGCAAGCTCCATTTATTGAGCACATACTATGTGCCAGCTGCATGCTACGTCCTGAACTGATGTATCACTAAAACCCCGTAAGTCGGGTGCTATTTGATAGGCGAGGAAGCCGACTGAGAGAAGTAGCTTGGTTAGTAACCTGGTAACCCAGCCAGTAACCGGCACAGCGGGGATTCAGATCTCCCACTGTTTCACCCCCACTGCTTCAGACCATTAAATCAAGGAGAAACAAGGCCTGAAATTCTATCTGTAAGACTGTCAAAAATGTACCGACATTTAAGTTCTCAAGAATTGATACTCATTTTGAAAACCTATCACGAGTTCTTGGTTCTCTTTTCAGTAGAAAGAAGTTCCAAGATGACTTTCACATAACCAACAGGAACAGCGATCAGCAAGTTTACGTTGCCACCATGTATTCAGAAAAAAATCTTTTCTCCAAATTGCATCACTTACTAACACACAGTAAGAAAAGCTGAGAAAGCTACAGATGGTAATGTCACAAGATAACTAACCATTTTCTGATGTGATTAATTAGTGTACAACCAGTAGAGTTCCTTTTCAACACAGACAGTATTAAAATTTCTGCCTCACTGGTATAGCTCAGTGGTTGAACGTCAACCCATGAACCAGGAGGTCACGATTCACTTCCCTGTTTAGGACACATGCCCAAGGTTATAGGCTCAATGCCCAGGAGGCAGCCGATCCATGATTCTCTCTCATCATTGATGTTTCTCTCTCTCTCCCTTTCCCTTCCTCTCTGAAATCAATACTAACTTTTTTTTTAATTCTGAGATATGCAAGTCTTCAACAATTGCATCATCTGTTTGCATTTCCTACTGCAGGAGGAAGTTTTTAAAGCTCCCAACACATCAGTTGTGGCATCATCTCAATTTATCACCAGGAAGTAAATTCTCAGGATTATAAACAGTAAAAATTCTGGAAAATTCCTGGGCAGACATTTGGTATTTAAAGGGGGAAAATGCATGCATGCATACAGATACATACACACACACACACACACACACAGCCCACGGACATGGGCTCTCACACTCACCAGTAACTCTACCCCGAAGAATATTCCGGACACGGTCCTCTCCGCTAGCAGGGGGCCCCGGAAGCGCACGACTCCGGGGAACTTTTCCTCCCCGGGCCTCAGCTGCACCCTCACGTGGCTGCCCACGTCGACGTGGAGGCCCTTGCTCAGCCGGGTTTTGCTGTCCAGCAGGACGAGCCTCTCCTCGCAATTGGTGATGGCCAGGAGCAGCTCCGTGTACTTCTCATTGATCTCCACCACATCCTTTTCGTCCACGAAGAGCACTGCGTGCGGCTGCTCCAGGATTTTCAAGCCGATCTGATTCTTCTTGCCTTTGGCCGAGGGGGCCCTGGAGTGGCCCACAGCGCGGTCTTGGACGTACTGCCCGATCGCCCCCTTGGGGACTTTGAGGACCTTCTGGGTCTGCTTGTCGGGCACGCTGTATTCCTGGACGAGCAGGTAGAAAATCCGCTCTTACCAGTAGGGTGAAGTAACTTTTTCTTGGCTCCATAAGCCTGAACTCATCGTGACATCAACTCCAAAATATTAACTCAAGAAAAGGGGAACTACGATGTTTGTGGCGAAACCGCAAAACATGAATTCACTGGCCGTCCGCAGGCATGGTGTGAGCAACGCGGGGTCCATGCTGCAGAATGACAGGAAAGCACAAGGCCTGGAGGAGAACAGAGAGGAGCTCTTCGCTCTGCATGCGCCGGAACTAAGGTTACAGGCTTTCAAACCTCACTCAGCCAGGAAAACACACACAAAAACATTCCTCCCAAAATATCTAAAAAGGTTAAAAGACATATTATTTGTATGTACGGTAATTTTACATATTTCACTAAAGAGATCCGATTGTAAAGTATCTTCAAAGACAATTTAATAATGTTTGTTTTCAAACATTCTTGATGTTTGTGAAAGCAAATTCTAAGTAAAAGATGACCCTATAGGCATATCCTTACATTTCTAAACTTTAAAAAGTAGCACTTTTAATAGAAACTGCCTAACGTAAATGGATAGCTGCTGTATTTGGACAAAAATAACATAAATCAAAAAAACTATTATTTCTGTATGTATACCTAGTTTATGTAAAAAGTTATCCATCATAACTATTATGTTCAACATCTTTCCTCAATCAAGTATCATAAAATCACATCCTGAGCCACAATTCACTTATCTATGTGCCATATTTTGATAACGGAACATTTTATCTCTGACTGTTTCATTTCCTTATCTTGTACATTCGATAGGCAAATGTTAATCATATTAATCATAGCTATCATTTAATTTCTCACAATCAAAATCATCAGATACAGTAACTCTGATTATATTAAAGATATCTGAAAAAAATCAGTTCTGCAGACATCAAAACTTGGACTACATACCAAGGAAATACCGCCGTATAGTAGCAAATATACATGTGTTTATACCTAACTATGTATACTAGAAAGGAATACACAAAAGATGATTTTCAGTTTCCAATTTTCATTTTAAATGTTTCAAGCATACAAATCTTTTGAAATTAAAATAGCTTACTCAACTCTAATTGATGATTGAAAACTATACAATTTCATTAATTCAAATTAGGACTTTAATCCATCATTTTAATTCATTGTCTTACTGCCAACAATAGTTCCTATCGATTCCCTGTCACATGAATGGGCTCTGTGGCGTCTACATACGGTATTTATTCCCTCCCCTCTGACAGGCATCCATATCCATTGTCCCAGGTAACAGTGGCAGCTGATAGCACTATCATATTCACCATTTTGTTCTTGGAATTAAAACGCAAACCCTCCTAAAACTAAAGAACCGGATTTTAGGTTTCATCACTTAATGATTAAGGAACCTGGCACATCTAGGTACAGGTCAGCATTTCCTTTAGGATGCGCTGCAGGGTGCTGAGGCATCTATAACGATAAGTATTCAAAAGCCCGCCCCTCTGCCAGCCAGACGAGGCGGGGCGTCCGCACCCTCAGCAACAGCACTGAGCTGCCTGCGCAACAAGGTGAGGGCCGGGCAGGCAGGGGAGCACCGGCTGCTCTGCTTCTCTCCCTTTTCCTTTTCTTTTTTGATCATGTATTTGTCTTCATTCCACTTGAGGGCACTGTCTACTGCAGCAGGAAAGCGTCCATTTATATCTGCCACTTACATAAGACACCTGTGGCCACCGGATCTTGGCACGAAATAAACAAAACCCCTGGGGGCGACCCCAACAGCCACCCAAAGCCTTCATTCAACAAGGAAATAGCACTATTTTCCTTGCCCATCGAACTACCCGTATGAGCACAAAGGGTTATCTGAGACGCTCAAAGGGCAGAGGTGTCTGCTGCTTCGGAGAAGGCCCTATTCAGGCCGTGAGCCTGAGTCCTGTGTCTGCTTCTACAGACGGACAGACGGCCGCTGTCCCTTGCCCTCAGCCATCTCCCGTGGCCTCCTGCAGCGTGCACAGGCCTCCTTCCAAGGCCTTGCTGCTTCCGGTCACTTCTCGGAAGCCAGGGGGTGGGTTATTAACCTGCATGGGCACTGGGTGGCTCCCAGGGGCTGAGATGGTCAAACGGCAAGCTCTGTAATGGGAACACTTCTCCTGTTCTCTGTGACAGCGATCCAAATATTTTGGCACCCTCCTCCCCCAACACACAAAAATTTTTTAAGTGTGGCAATTCTATTTTGAAAAGAAATTTTTTAATTTCTAAAAATTATACCTTCAAATAGTAAAATGAAGGACTTCTTGAGTCTTAATAAATACTATATGCCAACAGCACCTACTCTATTGGCTCCCTAGCTTAACAATTCATGTCCCAATTTAAAATAAAACCATAAGTGCCAATGAACTAAGACTGAACTAAACTGCTATGTGACTGCATTAGGATACTATATTTTAAGTGAATTTTATTTAAAGTGTTTTCTACAAATCATCTAAGACACAGTCCCTGGTAAAATTGGACATAATGCTTTGGTTTAAAAAGGCTGAGGACAATTTAACAAGAGTTACCACGAACCATGTTTCACAGAGAACTCCAGAAGGGGCAGTACCTCCTTTCTAACTTTCGTTAGCACCAGCATGTTGGCTGAGACTCCATTAAAGAACGGGCCATGTTAGAGGATGAGAGCAGCCAAAGCAAAAGTTATAAAATATTTAAGAAGCATCCTCCAAAACCACAAAGCATGTGGTCTTTCTTCTTTCAGAGAGAATACATTAAGGAAGAATAGGTTAGGAACTATCGTATTAAAAATTGATTCTCTTCATTGCAACTGATCATCAGAGAGAGTTGAATGGGGAACTTTAGCTGTGGTCTAGAGTTATACACGCTGATGTGCTTTGTGATCTTGAACAGCTCAGTATAACGGCATTACTGCAGAAATCTGTCAATAAAGAGACTTGCTGTCTCTTCAGAAAGAATATAATGCCAACATTCTCCTTTCACTGGTGTATGTAGAACAGCAATCAAGTCTTAAGACACCCCAGCAGGAAAAACTGACTGGAGATGATGTGGGAAAGATTTACGTCATATCGTCAATGAGTTCTTTATCGCTGAAGGAGGCCTGTTCATTTGTTTAGTATTTTTAGTGTTTTAGTATTTTCAGTGTTGGACCCTGAAAAATACAGACTTTGTAAGCTAGGGTGGCCGCCTCCACTTGTGTTCTCTTCCTGCCTTTCAGGTCTCATTGCTTACCTGCCTCTAATAGGACACTTCACTTTGAGGGTTAATAGGCCACAACTGGTTCATCTAAATACCATCGCACTGATTTCAGGCTGAAGAACTGAGGGACTGCAAGCAGCCTGATAATTACTGTAGGCACTAAATGAAGATCACAAAGGAACTGGAATACAAAATGTAGTTAACCTCAAAACCATATTGCACAGAAGGCCTTGCTTTTGACAACATTCGAGATGAGAAACAGCTCAAGGTCACAAAGATTGGAAACTATATCTAGTTATCTGAGCTTGCTGACAGTCTGAGTCCTGAGTAAAGGAGAACTTAATTATATTAAAACAAAGTCATTAAACTGAGATGAGGGTTGGGAGACGCAAATATTTACCAGTCTCCTATCAGTGCAATAAAAAGGTGATCAAGAAGTTTTCTACACAAATATTACAGGTCAGAAGTACCTTGTTCTAAAGATAATCCTAGTACAACTGAACCGCCTCAGCAACAAAACACTGATCGTGGTTAACTCCCCAGAACATACTGCGCTACTCTGATTCTCAGCTTATCGGGGTATAACTGTTCCGAGAGCTTCACTAAGGAAAGCAAAGACAGGTCTCACTCAAGACCAGTCTGCATCTCCTGAGCCATCGGGACTTGCTCTAAAAGGACAGGAGGCTCCCTAAGCCAGAATAAAAATGGCCACGCTGAAATACTGCCCCTAACGTACAAGGCCGAGGGAAGGAGGTCAGGGTGAAGACCAAAGAAAGAAAAGACCATGGCAGGCATTGAGGGCGTGCAAAATGAATGAATGACTTGGTTAACTCAAATGATAACGGTGAAAACCAAAATTCCATTCCCTCCTTTCACTACTGTTCCAGGTTAAAAGAAAGAAAGAAAAAGATTCTGGAGCTGGGAGTATTTTAATGATTTTTACCTAATTCTCTGGAAAATAGCTCTAATTCATAATGAAGTCATGGCCAATGTTTACACCTCCTCCTTGTTAGTTATATTATTTAAAAAAAAAAAATAAGGACTATTTCGCAATTATGAAAACCACTTGTTTGGGGTCCTTTGAAACTGGCTTCCTAGATTCTCGCGCCATGACTGGTGCCTATGGATTCCGTGTAACTATTGAAAAGACCTCGACAGGCTGAAAACCGTGGTGTTACAGTCAGGAACAAACATTACAGTTTGATGAGTAAGATAATTACTCCTTTCTCTCGTCTTGCACGGAAGACTTCCTCAAATCAAACAAAATCACAACCCAGGCAGGACGCAGCCACACGCAACCACTGCAGCTGAGCGGCTGATGGTGTATACGACCAGGGCCCTGGTCTCCGCGGCTCTTCACAAGAGTCGCCGCCCGGATGAGGCTCCTTCGCCAGAACTCCGTGAAAATCTGTCGCCGAACGTCAGAGAACGTTCTGGGTGTAGTCGACGTTCACAGTGCCTGAACTTCCGCCGGGATTTCCAGCCAACCATCTTGTCCCAATACTAATATTCTAGTTCCAATCCACCCACTACCCAGTGGGAACTTGGCAGCTGCATTCTTAGGGCCATGCAGTCTCCTTGGGACATGAGGGGGTGGATGGAAAAACCAAGACGTGAATGAACACCCACCCTCTCTCGAGGCCTGGGGTTTTCTCCGGGAGCCGAGGGCTGCAAAAGGGACAACCTTCTGAAGGTCCCCATTAGCCCGGACTGGACAGCAAGGTGGGGGGATGCGCCTCAGCTAGGTCCGCTGGGGGGCAGGGATGATGGGGACCGGGAGGCTGTGAGGCTTGGTGGCTGGAAGGTGACAACCGCTCTAAAACATGCCAGGGCCACGGGGTGGGACAGAAAAGATGCCAAGGACGTGAATAACCGGGCAGCTGACCCAGCTCAGCAGATGATTAAAAAAAAACGATAGTAAACAGGAAGGAAAAGGAAAGTGTACCTTGCTTCATTCAATGGGGTGCACCTGTCAGCCGAGGAACCCGGGGCTGGGCAGAGACCATCCTCTCCCTGGGAACGGGGAAACTGAAAGGAAAAGCAGAACACGCCATCAGCGAGGCCCAAACCCCGGCTGCTCTTCCTGGACGGAAGCCACAGACACCCCCACACACAGGTTCTTTGTTACTAATGTTGTGGCCCCACCCCATAATGAAGAAACAGAATTTCCGGGGGATGAGGCCCAGAAATCAGGATTTTAAAAAGATTCCCAGGTGATTCTAATGTGCAGCCTAGGCTGAGAACCACTGATCTAGTAGAACCACATTCACTGAACAATTCTAGAACAAAACAACACAAAATAAAGCATTTGAAATTGGAGTGCTGTTATGTAAAAGAGGAGAGAGATTAATATTAGATAGAATTATTGGCTATGATTTTCAGTGAAAACTACAATAACTGTGTATTTTATGTTATTTTTCGAACCTGCTACCTGGGCCCGCCCCCACCTGCCCCGCCTCCGAAGCACTGGAGGGGGCGGGAGCGAGCGTGGGCGGAGGACGCAACCACCGCGCTGACCAATCATAGCCCGAGGTGCGGACTTGCGCACGCTCTGATTGGGTCTCCCTGTGACAGACCTTCCTCCAATGGCTGCAGACCCGGAGCGGTCTGTCGGGACTTTCCGCTCCGTCAAGCTCGGTGGAGCCAAAGGGAAAGTGGAGGGGAGGGGCGGGGCCACGGAGGATGAGGGCGGGGATTGGACGGAAGACTCTGGGTTTCGCGTTCCCATTGGCTGACACCTGAGCGGGGGCGGGGCGTCGTGCTTCCCTGGCTCCACCTCCCATGCTCGGGTTCTGGCAGTAGGCTTAGCTGTCAAAACACTTGCAGGCTGAGTTTGGGGCTGTGGGTAGAGAGCAGTCCAGAGGAGGGCTGCGAATAGCATCTCAGGGTTCCGGGGAAAAGCAAAGCTTCGGAATCAAACCGAAGTGTGAATCCTTTGTGCCTTCACTAAGGAGACGCGTGGCAGGGGGAACTCACAACCACGCTGAGCCTCCATGTCCGCATCTGTAAAGTGGATCATCGTAACACCTGTCTTGTAAGGAGCGTTGTGAAATGCACAGCAGGCGCTCAGTCATGTCAGACCTCTTCCTGGGACCTGTGCCGTTTCTGAACCCGGTAGCCACCTCTCCCGGTTAAAAGTGTCTGACATTTCTGTAGTTAAGCCTGACCTGGAAAGAGTTCTCCCTGAGGTGCTGAGGCCGGGGTATCCGCACTCCGCCTCTCGCAGCTCTGCACCCTCTGGCCACCAGCCAGGACTTGGGGTGTAGTTAAGGATCTCTCAATTACCAGGGAGGTTTGTGATTCCCAAAAGCGCTCAAAATATTTAAGGAAGTGCTTTTTATAATCAGTCCCAGGGCCTTGCAGCATGCTTTGCGGCACTGGATACTCCTGTTAATTAATTCCTTCTCCTTTGACATTCTAAGTACCAATTATAGGAGAAGGTGATTAATAGTGAGGGAGGAAGAGGGGAGTGTGTGTGTGAGTGTGTGTGTGTGTGTGTGTGTTTAATTGTGAGAGGGGAAATTTCCCCCGTGGAAAGAGATCTCTCTGAAGATCGAGGGGATTGAAACCAGTGAGTACCTAAAAGAAGTCACACGAGTGATTACTCACAGTCCCAGTACACAGGCCTCCCATGTCCCTTGACATAAGCACCTAGAATGAAATGGACGTCTCTCGAAAACTTAAGCCTCAATCCATGCTCGTGCCTCCCTAGTCCGCCCTTATCCTGTTTCCCAAGCTTCATGACCACACTGCGTAGAAAACCATGAAATGGGAAGCCACAGTCCTGCTTGCAGTGTGGCCTTAGGTGACACCATTCTCCTTCTAGGTCCAGATTCTCCCATAGAGTCGGAGGGGTCAGAGGTCACAGTCTGGCTGTCTACGAGAGAAGTTCTGCTCGGCCCGGCCGGTGTTGCTCAGTGGTTGAGCGTCAACCTATGAACCGGGAGGTTGCCCTTCGATTCCCATCAGGGCACATGCCTGGGTTTCGGGCTCGATCCTAGGGTTGGGGATGTGCAGGAGGCAGCCCATCCATGATTCTCTCTCGTCATTGATGTTTCTCTCTCTCTCCCTCTCCCTTCCTCCCTGACATCAATAAAGATTTTAAAAAAGAAAAGGAAAATTCTGCCTGAAGACCTTTATTGCCTGACCCACACAGTGGGGCCAAAGAGGACGTGGAGTGGGAGCGAAAGGTGTTAAGTCCCTTTAGACAGGGCGACACTCCCCCTTCCTCCCTTTGCCACACTCCTCACCACTCCCTATTGCTCCCCCTGGCACACTTCTGTCACTGACATTAACTACTGGCTCTGAGGCACTTGGGTTGGCCACGCCTGGACGAGGGCATCTTGGCATCTTCGGTGATGGTGGTGTTTGGAGCCACTGGGCATTCTTCCTACCAACAGGGGGTCCGTCCTCCTGTCACACGTCCCCTGAATCACAGGGTATCCGGTGTTGGCTTCATCAGAGAGATATTCTTCCCAGCCAGGCCGATAGCCAGGGCTTATCTTAATCACCATCTCCTCCCCACTGGTAATGGCTGCCTGGACACGTGAGGAGACCAATGCAGCCATGGGGTCAAGGGACCCCCTCCCCAAGGAGCTCCTTGTTTCCTAGGGGTGGGGGAGATCGGTTGAAAGAAGGGAGGGTGTGACGCTGAAAATGTCAAGAAAGAAGTTGTTCCAAGTTTTTAAAAAAAGGTGGGGGGGGGTGGAGCTCTTGTCAGAAGGATTTTCAGGGTGGCTGATGGGGGAGCAGCAATGCTTAGGGGATAGGATTTGTGGGTTGTTCTGGAAATGATGATAGAGGGGATTAAACTGAGAGCCAAAAAGGGGGAAGCCAAAGATCTCGGGTTGCCAGTCTGCACAGCGGTAGGCCCGCCCCCACGTAATTCTCCAGGGGAAACTGCCCAGGCCGGTCCCCAATGGCGTTGGTGACCTTGCCCTTCCCCTGGGACCTGCCAGCCGGGGCCTGAGGCCCTGCGTTCCCTTGCCAGGTGCGTGCCCGATGGCCGTGCCCCGATGGCTGTGCGCTTCGCCCACTGGGCTGCAGCATCCCACGTGGGGAGGGAGGCTCCCGCAGACGTGTTGGTGCAATAGTGAAATGACGCTGTGGTCTCAGCTCAGCCCACTTGGAACCCGAGGCTACCGCCCACTCTTCTGGGGGTGTATTCATTGCGGCATCTGTTTTTGGTGCTGGGGGGGCGGGAGGAGAAGACACTCAGATTCACTTCTTTTTTTTCCGCTCTAGGATGATGGTGAATATGATGAAAGTCTAAAGCTCTTTTAAAACATTCTCCATCTTGGCCGGTGTGGCTCAGTGGTTGAGCATCAACCTATGACCCAGGAGCCCAGGAGGTCCTGGTTGGATTCAGGGTCAGGGCACATGCCCAGTGGTGGGCTGGATCCCCAGTGGGGGGCGTGCAGGAGGCAGTGGATCCATGATTCTCTCTCATCGTTGATGTGTCTGTCTCTCTCTCCTGCTCCCTTCCTCTCTGAAATCAATGAAAATATATATTTTTAAAATATACATTAAAAAAATTCTCCTGTCTGCCACCTCGTTTTCTACACGTAAGAATCATGTTTCCTTAGCCACCAGGAGGCCTCTGCCTGCCCCTCGGTAAGCCACTGGCCCCCGGCACCCGCCCTTCAGGTGACCTCCCCATCCGAGAACTCTAAGACGAGGAGTCCTCCCTCATGAGCTACCTGCACGGGCCCAGAACGCTGTGCGTGGACCTGCTGGGTTTTTCAAAGTTAGGAACCTTCTACTCGGAGCCCTGACAGCAATCGCACACCCGGTTCTCAGGACCCGTCTTCCCTGAGCCCTCTCCGGCTCCTCTTTCTCCACAGTCTCCACCTGGGTCACGCCCTCCAGGCACAAGGACCCCTCGCCCCTCTTGATGCTGAGGACGCCCCGCTGTCCTATGTGGCCGTGACCTCTCCCACAGGGTCCAGACCTGCACGTGACCTGAGGTCGTCACCTGACCGCTCCCCTCGGGTGTCTCAGACTTGACATTTCCAAGCGCAAGTCCCGCCTACTTCCATGTTTGAGACCTGTGGCCTCCCGTCTCCCAATCCAAAATCTAGGAGTCATCCTGGATTCCTCCCTTCCCCTCCTCCTCCTCATCCAGTCCATTTGCAAACCCTTGGCCATCTACCTCTGAAATCCATCTCCTCTCCATCCCCACGGAGGCCACCTCCGGCGGGCCCACCACCGCTTACCTGCAATAGCTCCCAGGCGGTCTCCCCACTTCCTCTCCCCCTCGCTCCCAGCCCCTTCTCCACCCAGGGGCAACGGAGGTCTTCTTTAAATATCACTGGGTCGCTTCTCCCCTGCTTAGAACTCTCCAGTGGCCTGCCGTTATTCTAAGATCAAGCCCCAGCTCCTGACATTGGGCAGCGTGGTCCTTCGCGACTGGTCCTACCTACCTCTTCAATCCCATCTGGCTACACTCCACCTTCAGCGCGTCTCAGACACACGGTGTGAGTTTCCCGTGGCTGCTGCAGCAGATTGCCATGAACTCAGTGGCTTACCATGGCACGGATTTATTCTCTTGCAGTCCTGGGGCCACAGTCCCAAAAGGGTGGCAAGGCTGGACGTGCCCAGCGATTCCAGGGACAAGTGTGTCCTGGCCTTTTCCGGCCTCTAGAGCTGCATCCCTCGGCCCAGGGTCCCTTCCTCCACCTTCAAGGCCAGCCGGGGAGCATCTTACGTCAGCGGCCACACTGCCTTGTTCTCGTGGGTCAGACTCCCTCGGCCTCTCTCTCTGGCTGCGTTTGCGGGTCTGTCCAGATCATCCAAGAGGCTCTCCTCATCGCAAGACCCCTAACTTCATCGCATCGTTACAGTCCCGTTCGCCATCTAAGCAACATTCACGTGTCCCGGGATTAGGACCTTCAGGGGCCATTACTCAGCCAACCACACAGACCAAGCTCTTCCCATGACTCTGTGCGCCCTTCGGGAAACCCGGGTCTCTGTACTGCTTGTCGCCTGGTCACCTGTTCCTGCCTCTCCCTCCCCTTCCCTCCTCCTCCCTACAACCGCCTGGGAGGCGGGAACCGTGTCTCTTTTGTCCACCCACCGGTCTTCCCAACATGCTTGGTTGATATGATTGCAAAGTGAAATGAGGGAAGATGCATTTGGCCCTGCTCTCCCTATCTGGGAGGGAGTGGGGAGGGAGAGACACTCGGATTCACTGGTGTTGCTCAGTGGTTAGAGCATCAACTCACACCCCAAAAGGTCACGGGCTCAATTCCAGGTCAAGGGCCTATACCTTCATCCCAGGCCCCCGTTGGAGTGTGTGCAGGAGGCAACCAATCGATGTGTCTCTCTCACATGGATGTTTCTCTCTTCCTCCCGCCCTCCCGCCCTCCCTCCCTCTCTAAGAAAAATCCGTGGAAAAAATATCCTCGGGTGAGGATTAAGAACAAAAGAAAAACAGGAAGATGCATTCCCAATCCAAGATGCGTGAAGAGGCCGCTGTGTGCGCTGGTCGAGAGAAAGCAGCCCCACCTTCTCTCCCTCCTGGTCTCCTCTGTCAGCAACCACGGTCCGGACAGAGCCACGGCCACCCGCCGAGAGAACCGCAGACACGCTCACACACGGGAGCCCGCGGGATGCCGCCCGGCTAACGAGCCAGGCACACGGGACCTTTCAAAGGAGCAGGTTTCTCGAAGGTGAGCAGCCACCTGCGACCCTGCTCATTAACCGCAGCTCAGAATTCTTCCCCCTCGGCCCACCCGGCGGAGGCTGGCAGGGGACCGCTGTGCCCAGTCGTCTCCCTCCTTCTCCGGTTAAAAGGTGCCCGAAGCCACGTGGAGGGCACGGAGGGGGGCCCGGGGGCCTTTCGCGGCGGCCCCGGAGGGTCCGGCACGGCTCAGCCCGTCACGCCGGGTTAGGCTCGGCCAGGCCGGAGCCCAGCCTGCTTGGACGGCGAGGCTGTCTCTAAGACTGGCTTTCGCCTGCAGCAATAACTTACCCGGTCGGAAACAGAGCGTTGCTTTAATCCTTGACAAGCTGCAGGGACAGGACAAAAAACACGTTTGGTCGAGATGAAGACAGCTTGGGGGAAACCAGAGTTTTCTCACGCGTCTTTTTTTTAATAAAAATATAAACTTGGGAGAATAAAAAAAAGAGGTGTATAAATAGTAACCAGTTTCCACGAGCAACGCTGTTGAGCAGAATCACGCGTGCACGGCACCTGCCGGCTCACAAAGGCTCTGTGCGCCCTTCGGGAAACCCCGGGCAGCGGAGAGCGTCGGCTTGGTGAGGAGGGGCTCCAATTTGCTTCTGTAAACTTTTCATCCGTGACTTTACATCCGGAACATCTGGCAAAAACCAATTGCCTCGCCCAGCCGGTGTGGCTCAGTGGTTGAGCGCTGACCCAGGAACCAAGAGGTCAGCAGTTGCAGTCCCAGCCAGGCACATGTCCGGTTGCGCTGTGCCCCCCAGTAGGGGGCGTGCAAGAGGCAGCCGATGAATGATTCTCATCATCAATGTTTCTCTCTCTCTCCCTCTTCCTTCCTCTCTGAAATCAATTATTTTAAAAATCATTCGTCTCTTAGGAGGATAGTTGGGAGTCTGCTGTCCGAGTCCAGCTCACAGGCAGCCCCCGGAGGGAGACCTGGGGAGGGGGTTCCAAGTCCTGGCGCGGACGGATTCTTTCAAAGCTGCCTCCGGATGGCGAGGTGATGCCACCGGCTTCCCTGGAGGAACGGACGTCACAGGAAATGAAAGTCCGCGTGTGGCACCAGCTGCCGTGTGGTCACATTCTTCTCGCAGATCTAGACGGTCCCGGGGACTCAATAGCTGTCGTGTGTCCCCTCCATTAACGTCTTAAGGACCGGAAAGGAGCGCAGGGCGATTGGCAGCCCCTCCCATGGTGGGGCCGGGAGGTGAGGATAGCAAAGGGGAGGACACTGATCCCGCAGTCTTCAGCCCCAGAGGAAATGCCACGTGCGCGTCCAGAGAGGGTGGAGGGACCGGATGGGGGAGCAGCCTGGGTGGTTGACCCCAGCAGAAAGTTCCTTCCTGCCTGGCCCTCATGGCTCAGTGGTTGAGCGTCGACCTATGAACCAGGAGGTCACGGTTTGATTCCCGTTCAGGGCACAGGCCCAGGTTGTGGGCTCGATCCCCAGTGTGGGGCGTGCAGGAAGCACCCGGTCCATGATTCTCTCTGATCATTGATGTTTCTCTCTCCCTCTCCCTTCCTCTCTCTGAAATCAACAACAACATATACCAAAAAAAGAGGGTTTCTCCCTGAACACCCCCGGCCCCCATTGCGAGAGGCGTGGGAAGGGGCTCCTCAGGGGGATCCAGGTCCCCACCAATAGGCTCTCGGTAGCCTTCGTGGGCCTCCTGATGCGCTGCATCCGCCGGAGGCCGCCCCACCACACGTAGGGGCTGCTCCTCTCTGCAGCCGTGAAGCGTGGGAAGAACTCGGTGGCCCACGGGGACCGTGGAGATGTCCACTCCGAGGGCACGGGCGCCCCTTCTGTGCCAGAACAAAGGTCACTGCTGAGCTGGCCTGGGCAGGACAGGGCTCCGTCCGGGCGGGTCACTCTAGACCAGTTGCAGGTGTCATCCAGCCCCTGGGGCCCGGCCTGGCTGCTCTCACACACACCGAGGGGATCCTCGGGTCGGAGACATCACAGCAGGAGCCTGGCGTCTCTGAGTCCCAGCGTCTCCATTTCCTCCTGAGAGAAGGCGTTTCCCCGGAGCCTTCGGGGGACAAAGCAAGAGAGGGCGGAGTGAGGATGGAACCCGGCATCGCTTTCCTACAATGGAAGCGGAACCCCTAAAGCCATGGCCTGCCCCCGCGGCCCCACAGCCTCTGAGCGGGCACCCTCTCCCCACTGCCCAGCATGCCTCGAGGGCGTCATGCCACAGCCCCTGGCCCCGGAGAAGATCCCATTCAAAGTGCGGCTTCCCCTGAACGCGTCACTTCTGCACCGTCGTGAAGTCGAAAAATCATGTTGAGCCGTTGTAAGGTAGAGCCGTTTGTATTTTACAACTAGGAGATGCCCCCCTAAAAGTCTATACTTCAGGGTTTTTAAATAAAATACACTTTTTTAAAAGCTGGTAACGCTGGCTCCCAGGGAGGGAAGTCTGCTGGTTTTGCCCCGCGTCCCTGGGGGTGATGGCACAGCGCTCGGGGGCGGCTCAGAGTCCCCACTGGCCTGGCCCGCCCACCCCGGCCCGCCCACCGCTCTCCGTAAGGGTCAGGCGGCAGCAGAGCAGTCCAGGTGCAGGGAGCACGTCCCCGGCTGCAGCAGCAGGAAGCAAATCGCATCAGAGCCCTTAAAATACCCGCCTGACGCGGCCTGCTCGCCCGGACACAAGCGTGACACTCCCGCGGGTTGTGCAGTGACTTCAGAACAAAAACAATGCCCACCCCTCCTTGCGAGCGCCCGGGCCCTGCGGACCTCACGGGCCGGGGATGACCCGCTCGGACAGAGACATGCTCTCCGTCACAGGCCGCTTTGAGGATCGTTATTTTTAACTTCGCCATTTGACACCTGCCGTGGGTTTCGAGGGAGGGGAGAGTCTGCCCCTTGAGAGCAGGGCCCCCAGCCCCCGGGAGGAGGGTGAGGGACCGCAGGCCAGGGCCTGGTGCGGGCAGCGGGCGTGGCGGGCGTGAGTCAGCAGAGCCGGCGGAGTCGGGTCTGTCCTTCCCCTACTCAGTTTCATTCCTGGCACTTTCACTGGGGGTTCAGAGGTACTGACCAGCTTCTTCTTTTTTTTCCTTTTATTTTTTTTAGAGAAAACCCTGAAGTATAGATATGTTTGTTTTGTTCACCCTCATCTGAGGGTATTTTTTCTATTGACTTTTAGAGAGAGTGGAAGAGAGGGGGAGAGACAGAGAGAGAAACATCGATGTGAGAGACACACATTGATTGGTTGCCTCCCACACACCCCCAACCGGTGCTGGGGATCGAGGTACGGGGCCTTAACCAGAATCGAACCCAGAACCTTTCAGTCCTCGGGCTGACACTCCAACCACAGAGTCAGACCAGCTACGGCTGAAGTATAGGTTTTTATGAGGGAATCTCCTAGTTGTAAAATACAGACGGGCCCCACCTTACAACGGCTCGACATGATTTTTTGACTTCACGACGGTGCAAACGCGACAGGCGTTCAGGGGAAGCCGCACTCTGAATGCGATCTTCTCCCGGGCCGGCGGCTGGGGCGCGGCGCCCTCGGGGGGTGGTGCAGCGGGAA